TTAATTATTTATTTATTTTTAATAATTAAAATTTATTCATATTTATCAAAATTAATTATTATTTTTATTTAAAAAGTCATAATAAATGTTAATCATAAAAAAATAAAAAGATAAATAACTAAAATTATAAGATTTATATATGACTAAACTGCTCTTCCTACATGTGTATGTATATATAAGTAATGATAGGGAGAATTAAAATTTAAAACCAATAACATAACATATGTCATATTATTAAATTAATTATACATATAATATTATATATTTTAAAAAATTAAAAATAATTATTATATAATATAAAAGTTATTTTTAATATTTTACATAACATAATTTATATTATATTATTAATATTGAATTTTATTCCCAAATTTTTATCTTATTGATGATTATTAGTGTGCATATATATATATATGTCTCTTTTCCGACAATAACCATATAATGTTGATTCATTCTTTTTTAATTACTCATGATTTATGACACCATTAAAAAGAAAACCTGTAATAAAAGCGCGCATGTGATTGGGCCTAGGAGGAATGCTAGGGGCACTCGCTCTCTGCACTTTCCGGCCAACACTTCCCCTTTCATTGGGCCACGTAAGCTTCTTTAAAAGGCTTTCCGGCGCAACCTCTAAGCCAAAATAACGTGGCCCAATAAAAGAGAAAGTGTTGGCCGGAGAGTGCAGAAAGCGAGTGCCCTTAGCATTGCTCTTGGGCCTAGTGGGGTGTGACGTTAGCGTCAGAAGAGCCACGTAAGAGGGAACAATGGGCCATGATTAGTTGGCAAAATGGACGATGATGCGTGTTTCGCGGCTGAACCAGGAAAACGACAATGTGGACTGGTTAAAGATCTGACGTGGTGGCCTCTTTTCCCTCTTTATTTATTTATTTATTTATTTTTTAAAAAGTGCCGGGTTTAATCCAACGATTCATAGTTACCGACAAAATGACGTGTCTGGGCGGCACATGGGTTTACTAAGCAATGCTCGTGGGGCCCACTTGACGTGGACTCTAAGCCAATATGTAGATCTGATCCGATTACAACTTCTCTCATCTTTACCTAAATACCCCCACACAGAACTTTCCATTGACATAATTACCCCTACCCGCCGCTTTTTCTGAAAATAATTAGCGGAGTTCCCACGCTGCGTTCACACTGACGCAGTCTCCACTCTTCGGATTGGGCTGAGGTCACGTTCTCTCGGTCTTGAAACTTGAAGCCCGATTTACTTGTGCTACTGGGCCTCATTCTCAGGCCCGGCCTTAACATAATACTGGTCCGACAAATATGGTGGAGATTCATAAGAGATTTTTTTTTTTTGTTTGACATGAAGCACCTTTTTGTGTGGTTGGAATTTTTAATAAATATTTTGTTGGAAAGAAATTATTGTAAAAGTGTTATTTTTGTAAATAAAAAAAATATTAGTAATATGTTAATTTCATTAAAAACCCAAATAAAAAACTCTTATAGTGCTTCTGAGATTTGTAATGAAATGAATCAAATACTAACTTGTAAAAAATCACAATATTTTTCACAAATTATAGTATTTGGTGTAGTTAAAGTTTTTACCATCTAAAAAGACTTTCATCAACTTTACCAAACATAGCCTAGATCTTTTGCTTGGTGGGGTTGCACGCCCCCATTCTCACGACAAATTCTTTCAAACTACGGAGTATCATGCCAGTAGTTTTCTCATTTATTAACATGGTGACACATTTGAAAATTTGATCTTTATTTAAAATTAAAAAATTTTATTTATAGTAATTTATGAGTTTTTTTAACATATATTTTTAAGGTTAAATGTATCATTTTATCATAAATATATATAAAAAATATAAAAATTAATATTAATTTTAATATTAATATTAAATGAATAAATTTAATTATTTAGTTGAAAAATGAATGGTTAATTTTTATTTTTTTTTATAAATTTATGATAAAAAAATATATTTATTACATTTTTCATATGTGTCCAAAGGTAGAAGTAAAAAAATTATTATAAATAAGCAAAGTAATAACATGGATGATGAAAATTTAGGAGTAATAATATGATATAAATTATAATATTAAATTGATTTATGCATACAATATTATAAAGTTTCAAAAAAAATAAAAAAATTAAATAACATAAATTTTATATTTTAGTATTTTAAATGATATATTTTATACTATATTGTTAATTTCAAATTTTGATACCAAAATTTAGTCTTTTTTATCATTATTTAAATAAGAATCAAAATACTAATAATTTATTAAATCGAGTGAAATATATTTGTTTTTTAATAAATTTTAAATTTTAAATTTTATAAATAAAAAATTAAATGTTGCACGAGTTTTTTTTTTTTTATAAAATTTAAGGTATCTCGACTTCAAATTAATTAAGTGTAATAATGTTACCAAATATGAGAGTTTGTAAAAAAAAAAAGAAAAATCTCATAATTGCGAATGTGTGTGTCACATTGGTAAATGAAAATACTACCGACATGATATCTCAGTTGTGAATTTCTCTCGTCCCACAACCAATAATTAGGTCTCATAATGACCAAAATACCCTCAGCCATTCTATATATCAAGTATGTCTGATAATTTAACAGCCAAGAGCAGCATCAAGTTTATACTTGGCACGTCTAGGAAGGAACAGGTCGGGTGTGGAGATGGGTTTCCTGTATTTCTCGAAAATCTGTGCAAAGTTTAGGGAGTTTTTAGTCGTGTGGTTGATGGTGATGGCATTGTCAAGTTGTTTAAGTAATCCCAAGTGTGAATTTGAAGCAATCTTCAATTTTGGGGATTCAAATTCCGACACCGGTGGGTTTTGGGCAGCATTTCCGGCACAGTCAGGGCCCTATGGCATGACGTACTTCAACAGGCCGGTGGGTCGTGCAACTGACGGAAGACTCATTATTGATTTTTTGGGTATGCTCTCTTAATTAACTCCCTAATTGTGTTAGTTCAAGAACATACGAATTTCAATTTAATATGCTCTTGAATCTTAAATTTAATTAATCTTAATTCATTTTCCGCTGCTGTATATATGATTAGAACACCACTTTGTTTAGGATAAGGTGACAATGTCACCGCAATTATGTTGGTTTGTCGTATGTTCATGTCCTCATCTTTTACGACCTCGTAAATTACAAGAAAGAACACAAAAAATTAGAATACCACATATATGCCAAGGTTGTGTTTCAGTGTTTATGCCTTTGTTGGGAATTTGAACTTTGTCATTGATTCTCAAATTATGGTTTTATAATACTAATTTTTTTTTTCCTATTGATTTTTGAATTTTCAGCACAAGGTCTAGGATTGCCATTTCTCAGCCCGTATTTGCAATCTATTGGATCTGACTTTAGGCACGGAGCAAACTATGCAACACTGGCATCTACTGTTCTATTGCCAAACACTTCCTTGTTTGTCACCGGGATCAGCCCTTTTTCTCTTGCAATTCAGCTCAACCAGATGAAGGAATTCAAGGTCAGAGTTGACCAACATCATGCCGGAGATGAGAAGCTCCCGTCGCCGGATATCTTTGGCAAAGCTCTATACACATTATACATTGGTCAGAACGATTTTACTTCAAATTTGAACGTCATTGGAACAGAAGTAGGAAAGCAGTATGTCCTTCAAGTCATCTCCCAAATTGCAAGTACCATCAAGGTGGGCTTTTACCCTATAATAGTCCAATTTTCAACTGTCAACGACAAAGCCCTAATGTGTTTTGGGTTGAGTTCTGTTTTTGTGTGATCCAATGAGCTTTTGCTGCCTTGGTGTTATTTCAGGAGCTATATGGGCTAGGGGGCCGTGCATTTCTGGTTCTCAACCTTGCTCCGGTTGGCTGTTATCCATCCCTTTTGGCTGGGCAGTCTCGTAACAGCTCAGACCTGGACGGGTTCGGTTGCTTGGTTTTCTACAACAAGGCTGTAGTGGATTACAATGAAATGTTGAAGGAAGCACTGACCCAAACGAGAGTAGCCCTTCCAAATGCTTCCCTCATTTACGTAGACACACATGCTGTCCTGTTAGATCTATTCCAGCATCCAAAATCCCATGGTAAGATTCCAACACTAGACTTGAGGGATGAAACCCAGAATTTGTAACATGTTTGTTTTGGTTTCGAGCAGGTCTCAAGTATGGCACTAGAGCATGTTGTGGGTACGGTGGTGGTGCCTATAATTTTGACCCAAAACTTTACTGTGGAAATACCAAGCTGATTGATGGGAAGAATGTGACAGCATCAGCCTGTAACGATCCAAACTACTATGTAAGCTGGGATGGTATACATACAACTGAAGCAGCAAATAGGCTAATTACACAGGCAATACTTAATGGTTCCTACTTTGATCCTCCATTTCCACTACACGAGCTATGTGATCTCAACCCTGTAGGATGACCAACAAGGTACGGCAGATTCGTACTTTAGATCTTTTTAATTATGAAAAAAAGCAGAAATAGATACACCCGGTGAGTAGAAACAACCCAGTCATGATGATTTGAAATGTGTGGATTGTAATGCGCACGTACAAAACAAAAACAATGTTGCAGTTGTTGCAGGTCATTGTTTGAATTCATGGTACTAAATTGAAAATTGATACGATTCAGTAGATGATAAGGACTGGATAGCGTAGAGGAAAATATTCATTAACTCTGACGGGGATACTGCTGGTTCTGCTCAAGGTTTGTTTGGGATTTGGGAATGCATGTGTCGGTAGGCCTACATAAGTCACTCTTGCAAAATTAATTCATGAATATTTCACATGCCTTATTTAATTAAACGAGGTAGATCTGCCCTACTTGGATTCTATGAATCGATAACTTTATATTTCATTTAAAATATATTTTTAATTCAAGAGTTCAAAATTTAAATTTTTTTCCTTTTCAATTGAGGGTTTCAA